TTTCCAAAAATAAATATTAATTTTTAAAAACTGATTTTCCATTTTCGGTTTCAGCACCAAAATTTTCATTTTGGTGCACCATTACAAGGAACTAGTATTTTCAGGAAGTGAGGTCCGCTGTGGCATTCTAGCTACTTCCTCACTACAGGCTTCTTTTAGTGTTTACTTATTATTTGTAAGCTTTATAATTTTGGGTATGGCACTGCAGTGCTAAAATATCATATACACTAAAAGCAATATCGAAATTTACATATTGGTGTAAAAAAAATGTAGTCTTGTACATGTTTGAATTAAAGTGGTTCTAAAGGTTGAAGGTTTTTTTCTATGCATAAAGGTAAAAAATTATCAGTATGCAGCTCCCCCCGTAGCCTCCCCATTCCAATACTTACCCAAGCCTGATCGTAATCAAGCAATGTGCATGAGAATGGCTGCTCCACCAGATCTCTGTCTCCTCATTGGCTGAAAGACAGTGAGAAGGGGTTGGGGCTGAGCCCTGTTCTGGTGTCTTATGGACACACAGAGTGGGGCTCAGGAGCAAGCACGCACGAGTGCCCCTTGAGCAAGCAGCATGATATGGGGGCACCCAGAGAAGTGGAGGAGCCAGGAGCACCAGCAGGGAACCTGAGAAGATGATTGGGGCCGCTTTGTGCACAGTGCAAGTAAGTATAATGCAAGCCAGGAAAACTGTCAACGTTGACCTGGAAGTGATGTCATACATTTCGCTTCCAGGACATGAACAAAATGCTATGCTGGTCCACTATGCCAATCCCGGGCCTGGAGATGAACAAGCGGAGCCTGGGATACATAGCAGGGGGCACGCACGGAAGGGAGGGGGGTCACTTTGCCCACATTTGTGGAGGCAATCGGGCGGCACTGGAGCCATTTGACTGCTTCCAGCTGACAAGGGTGCACATCCCTGCAACTGTGAATGGCATGAGAAAAGCCCAGGCACCAGGATGCAATTTCTAGTCGCCATGGTGACCTGGCAACTTGGATTTGTCGAGCCCTGGTGTAATAGAGCTTATATGAATAGCATTGGTGAGATGGGTTTGTTTAAAATAATGGCTAAATACTAACACAAAAATCAGAAATGTGAAGTTCAGGTAATCAGTGGAAGTCATTCTGTATTAGTGTATGTATAGCCAAAGATTTTTCTTTAGTTTTGGATGGGGTAATGAAGATTTCAAGCTGAATTCGTAGTTACATTGGCCCAGTGGTGGCAGCATTAAATATCCATTTACTGGAAAAAGCCAGCACATCAAGTGTAGATGCAGTATTTTCACTGAAGTCCCATATGAAACACGACATGTTTTGGGACACAAAGGCTCCCTTTATCAAAGTGACATTACAGGGGACCTTTCTGTCATGGGTCATTACTCATTACTCCAGTAACAACATTGCATTTGCACATGGTGTGCTCCCCCTTTTTTTTTCTTCAAAAAACCTGACAGATACCAACCGCATACAAAACGACTCCAATCATACATATACTTCAACAAACTAGAGCAGTAGGAAGTATGCTAGTATTTGTGATGCACTTATACAAGAAAGAGCAAAACAGTAGTTGATGTTTATGGGACACGCACTTTTGTGCTGCTTGGTGCTCTTTTCACTCTGTTTGCATGTTTTTCCAGTTCCTCTGCCTTGAATGCAATCTACTATACGTAATTGTTTTTCTCCTTGTCTGTTCACATCCTTTTTATGTTTATTTTCTGGCAGTTTAGCAGAGTGCCCTGTAATAGATGTATGCCATAATTGCTACATATTATAACATACATTGAACTGAAAGCCAAAAAATCCCTGGCACTAGCAGATGATTACACGGTTATCTGGATTGGAACTATAGCGATGACATTTATTGAATGATAATTACATCCTGCATTTTAATTAAAAATGTAAACAGAGGCCTTATAGTATAGCATTGGATTACTCGGTACGTCAAAATATTTTCAAAAACAATGCCAGCAATATTACGTAACATTTGATTTTAATTGAGTAGCTATATTGTAATTATAATGATTAGTGTATAGATTAAATCAAAGCAGTAGCTGCAAAATGTGGTGCAAAACATTTCTTAAAAGTGTCCTTAGTGGGTGAAATGCAGTCTATAGCATGGGTAGGCAACCTTTAAGAGGTGGAGAGCAAGATCAAAGATCTCCGGGGTCCTGCACTCTTCCCTTTCTTTTTTTAAAAAGAATTAAAGTGATTGTAAACCTCAGATGTGAAATATGAACAAATCACATCCCTTTATAGTGTGTGCTTGCCTCAATTAAGAGCATTAAGTGACATTTCTGTCTGCTGCTTCATTCCTCTATCTGCATGAGTTGCTTCTGACAAGTTTTCCAAGAGAAAAATGACAGGGAGGGACCTACAGCAGATTGACAGCCTCAGCTCTGTTCCTGTGTGCTGTGTGAAGGGGGGGGGGGGGGGGTCTCTTCCCTCCAATCGGCTCTCCTCACCGAGTTCTGCAGAGTGTAACTTCAGCTCTTCTGCCCGTTTTTTTTCTGTACGCTCAGAAAGCTGTGTATGTTCAGGACTTCAAATGGATGTAGAGGAGAGGACTGCAGATAAACAGGTACATATGTAGGAGGATTTGTTTCATCTCTGTGTATCACCTGAGGCCAGTCACTTCATGGGTATATGTAAGCATTTACAACCATTTTAAATATCAACCCCCCAATAAAAAGTAAAGATGGCATGAAGAAATCATATAACATCTAATAAAAGAAATGTCACTGCAAAAATATGAACCTGGCCTACCTTATATGTTCGCTTCAGTGAGAAACGTGCAATTCACTGTCATTCACAAATTTCTGTCATGTCTGGAGAGTAATTGTTCACCCCCACAAGTCTGATGCTGGAGTCCATCATGAAGGCAAAACCACTGGGACTGCAGGCTGACTTGTTTGAATAGTTTTAGTAGTTAGGGCAGTGTGCAGGAGTCCATAGTAGATAGGGCTGTGTGCAGGGGTCCGTAGTAGTTATGGCAGTGTGCAGGGGTCCGTAGTAGTTATGGCAGTGTGCAGGGGTCCGTAGTAGTAGTTATGGGCAGTGTGCAGGGGTCCGTAGTAGGTAGGGCGGTGTGCACGGGGTCCGGTAGTTGGGTAGGGCGGTGTACGGAGGTCAGCGGTAGGTAGGGCGGTGTACGGAGGTCAGCGGTAGGTAGGGCGGTGTACGGAGGTCAGCGGTAGGTAGGGCGGTGTACGGAGGTCAGCGGTAGGTAGGGCGGAGTACGGAGGTCAGCGGTAGGTAGGGCGGTGTACGGAGGTCAGCGGTAGGTAGGGCGGTGTACGGAGGTCAGCGGTAGGTAGGGCGGTGTACGGAGGTCAGCGGTAGGTAGGGCGGTGTACGGAGGTCAGCGGTAGGTAGGGCGGTGTACGGAGGTCAGCGGTAGGTAGGGCGGAGTACGGAGGTCAGCGGTAGGTAGGGCGGTGTACGGAGGTCAGCGGTAGGTAGGGCGGTGTACGGAGGTCAGCGGTAGGTAGGGCGGTGTACGGAGGTCAGCGGTAGGTAGGGCGGTGTACGGAGGTCAGCGGTAGGTAGGGCGGAGTACGGAGGTCAGCGGTAGGTAGGGCGGAGTACGGAGGTCAGCGGTAGGTGGGGCGGAGTACGGAGGTCAGCGGTAGGTGGGGCGGAGTACGGAGGTCAGCGGTAGGTGGGGCGGAGTACGGAGGTCAGCGGTAGGTGGGGCGGAGTACGGAGGTCAGCGGTAGGTGGGGCGGAGTACGGAGGTCAGCGGTAGGTGGGGCGGAGTACGGAGGTCAGCGGTAGGTAGGGCGGTGTACGGAGCTCAGTAGAAGGTAGGGCGGTGTACGGAGCTCAGAAGTAGTTACAGTTTTACGATGTTATCAAGACTGGTTGTTTGAGCCCCTTCCTAAGTACAAACTCATGAAGCCAGAGTCTGCCCCTCCGCTTTCTTCCGCCTTTTAGGTAGATTTCCGTATCTGAACAGAGTGATGGTCATTTCTGAGTTAAACTTTAAAATATGCATTATGTATCTCCTTTTCTTTGTCATTCAGAATGTCATGTACAATTGATCGCCAGTATGTGAAGATGTGCATAAATGTACCGTACTGCATGTCTTGCTTGTGTGTTGCAAAGAATTGTTCTTGGCTGTATTTAAAAAAAAAAAAATCAAAAATATAAACACTCTTCAAAAAAAAAAGAGACATTGCCTTCCAACTCTTCCTTTCTGACTGAAACATAATATGACATCAACCCTACAAAGGAGGCAAAAGGGAGAGGATAGGAATTGGGATTTACTGTTTTGGCTACAATACCTACAGGGTTCAGCTAGGTTGCAGACCATTACAAAGTGTCAGCGCCTACAATTTCAGAGATAGGATTCCCGATTGTGTTCTACAGAACCTCTGCAGTTAGTGACAACCTGTCACAAGACATAATAATGTGTCATGCAACACAGTTTGCAAGCTACTACTATAAGACAATAGCATCTTTAAATGTGCAATGGTAGATCATTTCATCAGTCGAGGTATGGGTTGGATCTTCACTGCCATATAAAAACAATCATTAAAGTTTTAAATAGTTACCCTTCGTAACAGAATTGAGTTAGTTAGATGTGCAGTATGGCTTGATCAAGAGATTTTAGGGAAGAACAATACTTGTTGAAGCTCATTAAACTAGAAAAGTATACAGAAAGACTTTGGCATAGATCAGTCCACATAAATCCAAGACATTTTCTTGGGATTGGGACATCCTACATATCATCAGACAATGCACTTTTTACATAGTTGACAGCTAAGAACCCCCTGGCATTGCTTGCACTTGTGACAACTGTGTTAAACTTTAAAGAAGAGTGATAAGGTCTCTACTGCTTATCTCATGTTTATATGGAGCACTTGAATGTTCCAGAGCAATACATTTTTATGCTAATGAATTCCAAGTTGTACCAGGAACTCTACTGTAGAAATCCAGTATGTCTACATGCATTATAAACGGTATATAGCAGTAAAATCTGTCTGCATATGCAATACAGCAAGCTTGTTATACACACTGAGGGGTTAATCCTCCGCATTGTGTAAAAAGGATGTTTGATCCTGTCTTCTCTGATCCTCCCCTTTTTCTACTGTCCCCAATCCATCTTCTGTTAGAGCAGAGCCTTGGGGGCAAGCTGCACATGCTCAGTTTGGTGTGTATTGCTAGAGAATGTTTTTTTTTTTTTTTTTCTTGGGAAAGTGCATGTGATCAGCACAGGGCCTGTCAGGAACCATCGCGACGCATGGGTCTACACATGCGTAGGTGTCTGTCAAGACATGCAGGCAGCACGGCACTAGGACCCAGGCGCACCCGTCGTCTATGACAGTACTGGGCAGGCACTAGGACCTAGGTTGCGCCTGTCAGGTGCAGGGCGGGCTACTTAAACCAGCCCTGCACAGACACTTGTTGCCGAATGGTCTTTCTGCGATTCCTGTTATCTGATACCTGTGTTGTGAGTACTATTGATCCGGATTGTCTAACCATTGCTGCCTTCTCCTATCCTGACCCCTTGGCTTGTCTGACTTCGCTCCTGGATGTCCCCCTTTAGATCTGATCTCCTGTTACTGACCTGGCATGTGACCCGACCATTCTTTGCCTACTGTTTTGTACCGCACCGGCCCCCCCGGCTACCGACTCGGCTTGTTTGACTTAGCTCTTGCTCCTCCATCCATCCATCCCTCTAGGACCCCCTGGTCCCCTCACATCAGACTCTCACCCTGCGGGAGCCTCTGGCAGACTCCTCTACCACCGGTAGGGATATCCAGTAGCTGCGACCTGGTCTCGGAGCGCTCCAAGTCCATCCCCACCATCAGGGGCCCTGGTGAACAAGTGCTCCGGAACTTAGACTCCACGCTCTGGGGAGGCCCTATCAGTGGATTGCTAGAGGTGCTGCCAGGTGGTCCCTTACAGGGCCAATCTGCACTGTCCAGACAGAGGACAATCAGGGGAGAATGAAAACTCCTCCTACTACAAGCTTTACCCAGTGCTGTGCTGGACAGTGATAGAAGTCAAAAGACTGCTCTAACTGCTGATGAGAAAACGTATTTAGCTGTTTAGCTGATTTAACTGTAATGCACGATGTATACTGATCTGTTTTGACCTACATATTGCTAACATTGGAAAAACGGGAGTTATGATGGTCGGGAAGAGCCGTCTCTATCTAAGGCTATCTGACTAATTTAGTCTGGTAAGGTGCATGGTCTGTGAGGTGGTGGAGTGCTTTCTATCACTTTTTTATTGGTAGTCACAATTTGATAAAGAGTGGAGCACGGGAGGACACGATGCTGAGGAATTGATAGTACTATTCTATGTAATACATATCTTTTGGAACATATCTTTTGGAGAAGAGGACGGAAAGAGGAAGTTGTGAACTGAATAAAATTCTTCTGTGGACCTTGCTATAAGGCAATTTGAATATAGATAGAGGGCAAGAGTAATAATTGCAGACGATAAGAAGTAAACACGTAGTGGAGTGGCTATGCATGGATTTTGACACATTTTTGTAAGCGTGACTTTTGTAACCACTTGCCGACCGCAGATAGCCGAATGACGACTTTACTGCGACCGGCCAGTTCTTGGAGGGTGTCGTATGATGTCCTTCCTGAACGCACCCTTCAGCGCGCCCCCGGTGATCTCCTACAGACACAACTGATCACGTGAGTTGGTAAAAGGCCAATCACAGCGGCCTTTTACCACATGATCAGCCGTGTCCAATGACACAGCAGAACACCAGTAAATGCAGTTGCCGGTTATTGGCTGCACTTTCCTCACGCTGTCACAGCGTGAGGAACGTACTGCCGATAACCAGAAATTGCCAGAGCAGGGAATGGCACCGATCATCAGGGCACTGATGATCAGTGCCCAGCAGTGCCACCCACCTCTGCCCAGCAGTGTTGCCAGTCAGTGCCCATCAGTGCTGCCTGTCAGTGCCCATCAGTGCTGCCTATCAGTGCAGCCTCATCAACGCACATCAGTGAAGGAGAACAATTACATGTTTAACCTCCTTGGTGGTATGATTCTTTCCGATTTTTTTGTGCTGAAAGCGGTACCATTTTTTTGCATGGAAATATGTAGTTTTTTATTGTAGGCTGTAATTTTTAGGAATAACTCACTGAAATCTGTACGAACAAGAGTCTATTAAACATTCCGGATATGATAAAATTTGAAACACAAAATCATAAATTATAATTTAATAAATAATCATAAAAAATAATAATATAAATAAAATTTAATTCAATAATTTAATAAAACTAAAAACACTGAAATTTGAAATACAGAGGCAAATTCGCACATCGCTGAGCAATCGTTTTCAGTGTCTGATGACGAATTTCCCCACGAATCATTATCCCTTAATTCTGCAAGTGGTTCTGATTTACTATCGCTATTCTAAAACCGCTTTTGACGTAAAGGGACGCTTTTTGGATGCCATGGACTTTTCTAAGTTTCCAGGCAGAAAGAACATTCAAAATGCAGGCAGGGCACAGGACAAAGCAGTAGGGACAAAATATATGTGAAATGCATTGAAACAGCAATGACAGCAAAAATGAAATTTTTTACAAATTTAAAATTTCCCGCCGGTTCCGGCACCCGTACGTCCCGACGTCACAGGGACCGGAACACAGGAGCCGGATGCCGGCATCAGCCGGAGGAGATGGCCGGGGACGCTGCAGGGGACACATCGCGGGAGCGAAGGACAAGGTAATTGCTGCAGGGACCCCCAGAGCAGCGCCGCATGGTAAGCCCGAGTGTAGCTCGAGGTTACTGCTCTTGGTATAGAAATTTTACCCTGAGCTACACTTGGGATTACCGCTAAGGAGGTTAATAGAAACAAAGAAAAAAAATTTTTTTTTCAAACTTTCTGCTCTTTGTTTTATTTTTTGTGCTAAAAACAAAAAAAAAAACTCAGCCGTGAGTACATACCACCAAAAGAAAGCTCTATTTGTGTGAAAAAAATAATTTCATATGGGCGCACTGTTGCATGACCGTGCAATTTTAACTCAAAGTGCGACAGCGCTGAAAGCTGAAAATTGGACTGGTCAGGAAGGGGGTATAAGTGCCCGGTAGGCAAGTGGTTAAGAAAGTTGTGAGTGTATTAAGGATAATGCACTATGTGTGTCTTTCTGTGCATATTTTTGAGGGTACAAAGATGAAGATGAAGATTTGCTTGTGTAGTTGGGAGAATTGCACACTGAAGGATATTGAAAAAGGACAGTTCACATATGTATACAGGGGATATTCACTGTTTGGACGTTGAGGACTTTTTATTTTGTTCAAGCATTGATTGATATTATTCTAGTAAGATTTTTTTTTTTTTTACTTTTGTTGGATTTTTAATTTGCTGCTACTTTTGCACATCTCATATTTCCAATCATTTCAGCAAATAAAACACGGAGACATGGATGGATGGGTGAGCTTGCTTTAAATATTAAAAATGAAATAAATAGCGCTTTTGGTTTGTGGTGTTTAGATTCAGTGTATTTCACTTTAAGTGAAACATTACAATAACAATCTTTTTTCCATAGGTTTCTGTATATGGGTATAATGTTACATAGTATTATTATGACTCTCTCTTTTTACGCTGAAATCTAAAATTCTTAAAATTCGCAAACTTTTTTATTAACTGTAATTGCATTATATGACTTCAGAATGATTTATGATTGCCGTTCATTAATCACATGTTCTTTTAGCCCACAGCGACTATCGTTCCTCAATGATGTCATGGCGTGGGTTTTGTAAAGGAGGTATACAGATATTTACGTCAGGGGCTCTACGCTGTGCTGGAACATATTCACGGTGAGATGCTTGCACTTCGCTACAGTCTTGAATTCCACATTTACCTTGGTAACTGTGGTCCATATGCAGCAGTTTGTTTACATTGTAAATGATTCTTTATTTGTCATGCCTGTCATCTAAAGCTGGTCATGCACTGTTGGCTGGAAAAAAAGCACAGATTCCTCCATCTACACAAACGAGGTGGATAGCGGAATCCCCCTTGCCAGGATATTGTATTCTGACAGCGGCTTATGCTGCTGTCAGAAACACCAATAACTGATAGGCTGCAGCCACGGATCAAGGACAATTTGCCAACATGTCACTTCTTCGACACAAGTTGATCAAACGATTGATAATCTATCAAGCAGGGACAGTCACACACTGATCAAAAGTTAACCAGTCCCTATGCCCCTGGCCAGTGTATGGTCAACGTAAATAGCAAAAGTGCAGCGCTAAAGAAATTGAACTGAAAACAGTGAGAAGTCAGTATAATAATATCCGTGGTTTTCTTTAAAAAGATGCAAACTTCCAAAGCTCTTGCGGCCTCAAATAATACCAATGCGCACTCACCAGAAACGCATGGGTTATGCGCATGTAGGAATAATCATTCCAGATGTCAGATCCCTCAAAGATCAGATGGCGGGCATCCCTCTCACGGTGGATCGTCGAAGGCTCCAAATTGGATCCTGAGGTCCCCTTAAGGTCAGTCAGGCACTCCACACTGATAGTGATACTCTCTCCTCTGAATGGTACACACACCTTCTCTGTGGGGGTATCAGCTCCACACAGGAGCCCCAGAAAACAGGTGCCAGAGATAGTGTAGTATGTTTAAAACAAAATGTATTGCTTCAATAAAAGTATAGGGCAGCATGCAGATCCAGACCCATATATAAAGGCTTTAAATGGAAAAAAAGGCAGTACTGACCCTAGTAAAGATGTCAGCCGGGCCTCCTCGTGGCTCCGGCGGTGGAATGACGTCACGCTCTGCACAGCTCCTCCTTAGGCCTTTCGTGCTATAGGCACATCATCAGAGGGGAGGCTGTAGTGTATGGTCAGCTTAAGACACAAGTTCTCAAATCAATGAGTACAACTGACATATAGTGTAGTGAACAGAGCTGTCAGCTGGTTTTTAATATGATACGTATTACCGCTAATAGAAGATTAACATACAAGTCTCCACAATGAACAAAGTTCAGAGATTGTCACTTTAAGAATACTGAAAGTTGCTGACCGTTATGAATTGTAGGCATTCAGTTGACACATACAGTACTTGTAACAACTTTCAGTATCCTCTGCTTAGCCTGAATGCTTGGCTATTCTAAACGGGCAGTGCCAGAACATGCAGCTAAGTAGTCCCATCTACATCCATACCTATTGGCCCATGACTATGATGAGCTGCCATGCTGAGCAATAGGGGTATGTGGAATGAATGATAGGGCCAGCAAGCTTCAACACTGTGAGGCCCATGTATCCTGCTTTACCTCCTTGCAGCAATGCAGCCCCCTTAAGACTTTTTGGCATCCAACATTTCGAAGAGTCTCATATACCTTTGTCCCCTGCTGTGTGCTGTGTCCCTATCCTTAGACTACGTTGTCAATGCCATATCCTGCAGTGAGGTGGGGTCAGATGAAGGAACCACAGCATATGGTGGGATACACAGGCACCTGACACTCCCAGAAGTATCCAATGCCGCAAAAGAGGCAAGCTAGGAGACACAGGCTATTTGAGTATAATGCCTCTTCCATGGCAGGGAACTTCAAATATGATTTTTTTTTTTAGAGACTAACTAGGTCTCTTTAAAGTGATAGAATCTCTGTAAAAATATTGAAAACATGTAAGAGTAAATCAAGCTGAACTAATGCACTTTGCCTGGTTTATTATTATTATATATACAGTATTTATAAATCGCCAATAGTTCGCTCAGCGCTGTACATTACAATAGGGGACAGAACAATAACAATACAATACAACACAAAACATGAGGGGTTCGAGGGCCCTGCTCTTTCGAGCTTACAATCTAGGAGGGAGGGGATGGTGGCACAGGAGGAGAAAGCTGTGGGAGATGGAGTGGTAGGAAGAGTGGAGGAGGTCAGCAAGTTAGCAGGGGGTGAGGTAGGCTTCCCTGAAGAGGTGGGTTTTCAGGGTGCGCCTAAAGGAGAGGAGAGTAGGTGATAATCTGATGGGTTGGGGCAGGGAGTTCCAGAGGATGGGTGACACCCTGGAGAAGTCCTGGAGGCGGGCATGGGAGGAGGAGACCAGGGAACTAGAGAGAAGGAGGTCTTGTGAGGAGTGGAGTGTGCATGTTGGGTGGTACTTGGATATTAGGTCGGTGATGTAGTTCGGGGCAGTATGGTGGACAGCTTTGTACGTCAGTGTTAGGATTTTGAATTTGATCCGTTGCGCAATCAGGAGCCAGTGGAGGGATTGGCAGAGGGGGGTGGCGGAAACGTAAAAGTTATTATTTTGAGAGGTAAAAACAGTTTTAACATAGCTACATGTCAGCGATCCCTAGTCCCAGTAAATGCCCAGGTGGTGCTTGACTTGGGTAGGGGGACGCAGGTTACAGTGATTCTAACATATCATTTTTTTTCTTTTAGTTCTGCTTTGCGGGATCATTATCAAGTGCTAGGTGTGGGAAGGGAAGCATCAAGTATAGAAATAAAGAATGCCTTTTTCAACCTATCAAAGAAGGTAATTGTCTCCAATATCATTTCCCTGTTATTCCACATTATGTGTATGGAAAATGCATTTACAGCACATTTCAGTAGAGTATAGTTATATTTCTTATGAGATCAGGCAATGGATACAGAAGTTGGTAAGTAGTGTGAATAATGCAGTGCCAGCACTGCAAACAACTTTACCTACAAAGGAATAGGCTTAGGTCATGTGTTTTGCTTATGCCATACGAACGATAATTTACCAGAGACTTGTATCAACTGCAGCTCTTTTTATAATTTTCTTGGTTGTTGTGTACATGCCTACAAAGCTTCTTTTGTTGTAGGACCAACACTGGTTAAAATGAGTATTTTACCTGGTCTTTTTTTCACCGGCTCCAGACGCTGCTGCAATACAAATCTTCCAGTTCATTTTCTGCTTATTTTTAGCGTTAAAGTAGCCAATGTATTAAAAAGTACAACTATTCTTTAACGTGACACTGAGCCCTGCTTCACATCAGGTGCGACTTCAAAATGCTGTGATTTTGTCCAATTTAACCACTAGCCTACAGGGCACTTCCTGCCCCCTTCCTGCCCAGGCCAATTTCCGTCTTTCAGCGCTGTTGCACTTTGAATGACAATTGCGCAGTCATGCAACACTGTATCCATATGACATTTTTATCATTTTATTTTGGTGGTATTTAATCACCTCTGGGTTTTTTATTTTTTCTTAAACCAAAAACCACTGAAAATTTTGAAGAAAAAAAAAAAATGTTTTTTCATAGTTTTTGTTATAAAATGTTGTAAATGAGTGATTTTTCTCCTTCACTGATGTGTGCTAATGAGGCTGCACTGATAGGCTGCACTGATAGGTGGCACTGATGAGGAGGCACTGGTAGGTGGCACTGATGGGCATTGACAGGCATCACTGATGGGCACTGAAAGGCAGCATTCATATATGGCACTGATTGGTGGCACTGACTGGCACTGATTGGTGGCACTGACTGGCACTGATTGGTGGCACTGATTGGCAGCAATGATAGGTGGCACTGACTGGCATTAATAGGTGGCACTGAAAGGCAGCTCAGATGGGCACTGATATGTGATATGTGGCACTGATGGACACTGAAATGTGACACTGATGTGGCACAGATGGGCACTGGCAGGTGGCATGGATGACGTCATATGACGTCCTCCCAGAACGAGAGAACCGCCTTGTGTCCGTCATATTACTATATGGCGGTTAAAACATGACTTCAACATGAGTTCAATGTGATTTCAATATACTGCAACTTGCCTATATCCAAAAAAATTTGAAAAAAACAACTGTGTGGGGGTCCCCCCCAATCCATACCAGGCTCTTCGGATCTGGTATGGATTTCAAGGGGGAATGCCAAAATTAAAAAAAAAAAAAAAAAAGGCATAGGGTCCCCCATAATCCATACTGAACCCTTATCTGAGCATGCAGCCTGGCAGGCCAAAAAAGGGGGGTGGGGTGGAGGCATGTGAGAGCCCCCCCTCCCCCCGAACCATACCAGGCCAGATGCCCTAAGCATTGAGGGGGTGCTTTGGGACACCTTTTTCCCTTTGTTGATGAGGACAAGGGCCTCTTTCCCACAACCCTGGTGGTTGTGGAGGTGCAGGGGGTGACTTATTGGAATCTGGAAGCCCCCTTTAACAATGGGGTCCCCAGATCCCGGCCCACCCCTTATGTGAATGACTATGGTGTACATAATATCCCTACTCATTTACAACAAAAAAGAAAGTAGATCCAACATTAATCGCAAAGAACATCGCCACAAAAGAAAAAAAAAGAGCTCTGCACCCGATGAAGGGAATTGGTGAGTCTTTCATTCAACTTGCTGGTTAAACTAAAAAAAACAACTGATCTAACTATGGCTAGCTTAAGGAGGTTGAATAACCGGGAAAAAAAAAAACAATTTCCTGACAAATAGATTAACTAATGGATGTGTATGGATTATTTTTGGGGAATAAGGATATTGTTTATTGTCACAACTTATTCTTTAATATCAAAGACAAGTAGCATGACTGCCTCCATTGCTGCCCATGCAGCTATCATGTAGCCTGAGAGGAGGAAATGGTAGCTGGTAAGAATGATTGATTGGAAAGGAGTAAAATCAATCACTATCCTACCTATGTTTATTGTCTCCCTGACCACATCCTCATTAAACCTGCAATCGATTACTGGCTTGGGTCAAAGATCGAACTGTTTCTAAATACAATGATCTCCCCACCCAACCCAGCATAATTTCAGTTACCAGGATGGAGCCTTTTTACTTGTTTTTTCTTGCTAAGAGCTGCCCTTCCCGCCATGGGCTGCTGAGTACCAATTAAAGAGGCTTTTATCAAGAGAGACTTACAGTAGGTCATTACTTTAAGTGAGGTTGTCATTTAAGGCTTCCACCTTTCAAAGCTTCATCTCTACTCACTCTATGTAACCCAAACCGATAAATAATAACCTTCAATCCAGCTCTTGAGATAGGAGTTGCCCAAGGCTGCACAGCCTTTACATTGAAATAAGCTCTGTCAGCCCATGTGCCCACTGTGCATGTGTGCCACAGATGTATTCTTTCCTATGGCTCATCCATAGTCTTCCAGATAATTGGGCCTGCCATGAGTATGAACCCAGCCATAGGAATGAATGATACCATGGTACATATGCGCAATAGGAGCATAGCCTGGCCTGGACTTTTATCAAGGAAAACCTGTGTGCCACTGGCCTGCACAGTGAAGATCTCTGGAGGGGCTGAAGGTAAGTACTGGGCTATGTAGATGTAGTATGTGTGGAATAGGGAAATTTTAAAGGACAGCATTTAAAGAGGTTGTAAACCCTTAATATACCCATGAAGTGACTGGCCTCAGGTGATAAACAGAGATGAAACAATTCCTTCTACTTAAGTTGTACCTGTTTATCTGTATATCTGTAGTATTCTCTTCTCTACAGCCATTCATAGTCCAGAATTTATACAGCTTGTCTGAGCTTTCAGAAAGCAGGGAGCAGAGAACTGAAGTTACACTCTGTAGAGCTCAGTGAGGAAAGCTCTGAGAGCTGATTAGAGGGAAGGGACACCCCCTCACCTTTCACAAAGCTCACAGGAACAGAGCTGAAGCTATCAGTCACAGGCTGTGTGCTAGAGGTCCCTCCCCTGTCACCTTTTTTTCTCTTGGTGTCAGTAAAACTTTTCAGAAGTGACTCCTGTAGATAGCAGAGGAACAAAGCAGCAAATGACACTTAGTGCTCACAAGTACACACCACAGAGGGATATTGCTTTATTCATATTTCATGTCTGAGGTTTACAACCACTTTATAGAACAATGGATATGCTCATCAGTCTCCTGCTTTTCATTTTTACTGTGGAGTCAAAGGCTTTGGAAGGGGAAAAACATATAACTGCTACTTCGCTGCAGCAGACAATTATTGAAACTCTTTCCCTTTATATTTATTTCATCTGTGCATTCAGCTCTTTGCCAGACTTCAGCTTTAAGCACATTGTTGCTGCTTCTGAAGTTAAACAATGTGGTATCTTATCTGATTAATACAATAAGCAAGATGAGTACTAACATGTTCGCTCACAATAACTGTACATGATAAGAAAATTAAAAACACTTTTACTCTGTTTTATATACATCCCCCATCATGGTTTTAGAAAGAATTCTGTTTTCATGTGACTATCAGTTGTCACAGGTTTTTGATAAGTAATGTGTCTGTAAGGGCAGACGTCTTTTTCCTGTACAAGCAAATTTCATTAAAAAAAAATCAGATTTAGTGTGCAGATACACCTTGTCTTTTATAATATGTAACACAGTTACAATAGATCTGGCTTTCCAACTTCATCCAGACTGATTGGTTACCATATATAGGTAGTTAGTGTACTATTGTTTTTCTGTATATTTTTCCTTTAACGATTTTTACTGCCACTGAAACCATACACAATCTCCACTCTATTTGCTTCAGTGAAGTACAGATAAAGACATCCGGAGACACCAGACCCCTAATGTCTTATTAACCACTTGCCTATTGGGCACTTATACCCCCTTCCTACCCAGGCCAATTTTCAGTTTTCACTTTGAATGACATTTGCTTGGTCATGCAACATTGTACCCATATGAAATTTTTATAATTTTTTTCACACAAATAGAGATTTCTTTTGGTGGTAGTTATTTGCCATTGGGTGTTTTATTTTTTGCCCCATAAACAAAAAAAGAGCAAAAAAAAAAAAGTTTCTCCTATGTTTCTACTAGAAAAATTTAGCAAACAGGTAATTTTTCTCCTTCACTGATGTGCGTTGATGAAGCTGCACTGATAGGTGGTACTGATGGGCACTGATAGACAGCACTGATAAGCTGGCAATGATGATGCTGCACTGATATGCAACAATGAGGGGCACTGATAGGCGACACTGACTGCCGGCACTGCTGGGCACTGGTGGGTGGCACTGCTGGGCACTGGTGGGTGGCACTGCTGGGCACTGGTGGGCGGCACTGGTGCGCTGCATTGTTGGGCACCGATCATCAGGGTACTGATCATCAGTGCCCTGATGATCGGTGCCAATCTGTCCTCTGACAATTGCCAGTTATTGGCAGTACTTTCCTCACGCTGTGACAGCGTGAGGAAAGTGCAGCCGATAACCGGCAACTGCGTTTACTGGTGATCTGCTGTGTCATTGGACACAGCTGATCACGTGGTAAAAGGCTGCTGTGATTGGCCTTTTACCACATCATGTGATCAGCCGTAGGACACAGCGATCATGGAGATCACCGGGTGCGTGCCCGAGGGAGCACGAGAGGGTGTGTTCTGGGAGGACCTCATTTGACGCCCTCCCAGGACTGAACAACCGTGCTGTAGCCGTCATTCGGCTATACCGCAGGTGTCAAGTGGTTAAAGAGAATCTTTCACATTAAAATGCAATTTATTGATCCATTATGTGATAGCAATAAATATAAGTGAAATAAAAGGGTAAAAAAATGAAAGGTACACCCAAGCATTTAAAGTGGTTCTAAAGGTAAAATGTTTTTTACCTTAATGCATTCCCTGCATTAAGGTAAGAAAAGTTTGCCACTTACTGTGCCCTTTTCGCCACCAAATATCGGAGTCTTATATTGATTTAGCGCTGTGCCCGTCTGCTGTTCTTCTTTCTCTCTGCTCGCACAAGCTTGTCTTGAGAGCAGCGGAAGACATTGGCTCCTGCTGTCAGTCAAATCCTGTAATTGGGGGGGGGGTCCGGGGTATCAAGCCGTGCTGTGTGTGTGTCATACAGCCCTGCTTGGGATCAAGCCCACACATCTGTCCCCATGGCAAGTGCCTTCTATAGAGGCAGACTCAAAAGAGGAGGAGCCAAGATCGCTGGTGGGGGACCCCAGAAGAGGAGGGTTGGAACTGCTTTGTACAATACCATTGCACAGAGCAGGTGAGTATAACATGTTTATTATTTTAATAAAAAAAAATTGCCTTTACAAATGCTTTAGACCCTCCCCAAAAAAATCTTGAGCTCCATGTATATGCACACATGTATATAAGCACAATGCTCTACTTTTCCGCCTCCCCCCCACTCCTGTATCACTTTTGAGTACAGTTATATATTTTGTGGGGGGGGGGGGGGGGAGCGGGTGCTTGGTCTTGACAGGTACCCGCTCCCATTTCTGCTCGGATCACCAAGCTGATTCATGTTGAAGTTTGTCCCCCACCTTTGCCCGCAGCTTTCTTGGACACATCACAGGCCCCAGAAGGCTGCAAGACCATTCACAAAGTGTAGTAGTGTGGAGGGAAGCCAACCGTGAAGCTGCAAGGAGCCATAGCCAGCTTCCCTTATTAAGCATACTGGCACCAGGGGAGGACAGTGCTGGATCCTTGGACAGGTAAGTGTTCTTTTTTTAAATATCAGCAGCTACAATACCTGTAGCTGCTGACTTTTTTACTTTTTTTTTTTTTTATACAACCTGAAGATCCTCTTTAAGTTGCCTTGATTTGCCTTTCAATTGTTAAAGGAGTTGCATTGAGCTGCTTGGCTTTCATAGGGAATAAAAGCAGCTGACATACAGACCATTACCCATGTACATGAGCTGTTCTTCCCCTTAAAGGGTTGGTCAGGAGATGGCTGGAGAAGAATGATCTATTACCATAACAATTGTTGTCTGATCAACCATAAATTATCATTAGGGATGCACCGATACCATTTTTTTAAACACCGAGTACAAGTACCGATACTCTTTTAAAAGTACTCGCCGATACCAATGTCCCATACCTTCTGCCTATGAAGAGTAGGTACAGGGGTGGCGCGATACGGGAAAACATGCCATTCCGCACGTTACCCCACTGCAATTTGTGTGAACAAGCCTTAAAATGTACTCTGTTAGGCAGAGTTCAATTTATTACATATTACAGGTAGTGTGGATGTAGTGCTGATAGATGGCTCCCCCCTCTAGATTTCTGCGGAGGGGCTGATGATGCAGATCAGTGTCCTCTCCTGGCCCGTTCTTTTGTCGGCAGGAAGCCAGGAAGTACAGCACTTTAAGAAGAAGCTCTAAAGGAGGAAGTTAGATCTTCCTCTTCTGAATGCCGGGTCCTCCAAGCACCTGATTGGTTGTTAGGTCACTAGGCAGGCCTAGCAACCAATAGTTTTGATAGGTGGAGTGACCCTCCTTGCCCCCCTGTAGCAATGTCGCAGTATTTCCGGCATTTTTTTTTATACATTTCAGCTGTCAGCAGGGGAATCCCACTGACAGCTGAATTGTCATTGGTTGTTAAGGACAGGGTGGCCCCCTCCTTAACAACCCATAATTGCCGGCATACTTTTTTTTTTTTTTTTTATATTTCAGCTGTCAGCGGGGGAATTCCGCTGACAGCTTAAAGAACCGAACCTAAAAGTATCGGTTTTTAGTATCGGAGCATTTTCACGAGTACCGATACTCATGCAAGCACTCAGTATCAGCACCGATACCGGTATCGGTGCAACCCAAATTATCATGTCTGAAGGCACATTACAGCACACCTTATAGAAGGCCTCCTGTGTATAAATTTGTTGTAGAAAGGCAAAAAGGATTACTTACCTAACCCTCATCTTTTGCATTGCAGGGAATGACTTACTATCCTACTTTAGAGATTCCTGGGGATCAATTAGTACTCCAAATATCACAAGAAAACACTCCAGCCCAATGCAAGAGCATCTTCTTGTGTGATCTGGAATTCTCATGTTTCCAGGATCTTGCTGAAAGGATCAAGACATTACGCCCTCCTAGGTGACACAGATGAAAGATAGGGGTAAATTAGGTATAAATTTTACTGTTTTTTCCCCATAGATACATTTTCTGCCCTGACCTAATATGCGAGCCTTTCATTTTACTGAGACCACAAATCAAGCAGGACAGTGAACGTGATAAACCATTGCCATATAGGTAAAATACAGCAAGCAATTAAAGCGTTTGCTTTAAAGGATAGGTTGACCTGTATAGAAAAAAATCATAAATACACACATTTTTTGCAGAAAAAAAATGTATATTTATTATTTTTTCCTGCAGGAGCCTGAAAAGCATTGCACCTTCGAGCAATTTTTATTATTATTATTATACAGTATTTATAAAGCGCCAATAGTTCACTCAGCGCTGTACATTACAAAGGGGGACAGAACATGTGACAAAGTAGTCCAATATGTCTTAGTATGCTGATGCCTTAAGAGTTCCCTTCACTGGAACTAAGGGGCCAAGCCCAACCCCAACCCCTGAAAAACAACCCCACACCATAATCCCCCCCACTCACCAAACAACCAGCAATAGATCACATGTGCAATGTGGGCTCCTACACACATCCTCTGGATTACAGCTCGTACCTCTGTATATGCTTTCTGTTTGAAAGCTGTAGGTCATGTCAATTGACTCTCATCAGTGCTCCTGTAGCCCATTGAAACTGCAAATCCGTCTGTCGCTGTGGCAGATGATACTTTGTATTTTAATCATTCATAGTAATCTGTGAATAAATGATGCAGTTGTCTGGCTGGAGCCCTGCACAGCCATGCTTTTTAACAAAAGTGACAGTGGGTGCCAGGAGAATAACCCCAGCCCGCTGCCAGAAAGAGGGGGATCGGGGGGGAGAGGAGGCAGGAGCTACAACATCTTAAATGTTCCACCCTAAATTCAGGTGGAACATGTTCCAAAGGTGAACTTAGCTTTTAAAATCAGTAAAACACTTTTACCTAGAAACAATATTACAACTGAATAAACAAATGCAACATGACCAGCTTGTATTCGAAAATCAAACATCTAATGACTGTATTTCCTGTCACAGGAACTGTGCTTCTGACACTTGGCCTTTATTCAGTAATATGATGAAATCAACTTTGATGTAGAATCCTTCCAGCTAATCAGAAATCAGCTTTCACTCCTAAATTAATCTGCTAAAACCTCTGGATAGACATAAAGAAATATAGCACATGATTGCTGTGTTTACTTTAAATATGACTAAGATCTTGCATAATGTCAAGAGCGATGACTGGGTAGGGTTGGCCATAGATCTGATAGAGCTGATGTCTCTTGAAGAACATCTGCACATCCTTAATTGACCCAAGACCCATCACAGTATTATGGGACTTTGCTTACACCACTCAGCATCCACACAGCATCCTTAGGATAACCTTGAAGTGGTTGTAAACCTCAGACACAGACATGAAATATGAACAAAGCATATCCCTCTATATTGCGTATTTGTCTCAGTTAAAAGCAGTGTCAGTTCTATCTGCTGCTTCATTCCTATGCTATCAGCATGAATCACTTCGTCTCCCTGACCCCAAGTCCAAATAGTGATGGGGAAGGAGGGGGGGGGGGGGCTCTGTTCCTGTGAGCTGTGTGGAGGAGGGGGTGTCTCTTCCCTCCAATCAGCTTTCAGAGCTCTTCTCATTGAGCTCTGCAGAGTGTCATTTCAGCTCTCTGTCCCCTTTTTTTTTGGACTTTCAGACAAGCTTTAAAAATTCAGCACTTTGATATGATGTAGGAAATAGAAGACTGCAGAGAAAATAGGTACAACATATATAGGAGGATTTGTTTCATCTGTGTGTATTATCTGAGGCCAGTCATTTCACTGGGTATATGTATTTTAAAACAGCCTCATCTTTGATCATGATATAGAGCTGTCAAGATGGGGGGAGAATTAGGCAGTTTAGGGCCACCCGTAGCCATGTAACTTGACCCTATGTATTACATGTACTGCATTCCCAGTAGTCTACTGCTGCAGAATTTTAGCTGCTAATAAGGTATCAGTAGGTAAATATTATTTGAAACTTCCTTTTCCCCTCCCTGTCCTGAAATGCATAAATAGGAATTACACACAAAGGCAATCTATCCTGAAGCAAAGCACCCATGTGGGAAGCTTCAAATGGGAGCTTATATTCTAGTTCTGGGATTGTGACGATAACTCTTTTACTCTTTAGTGTTAGTATTGTTAGTTTCATAAAACTAGCATGCAGTTGACAGTGTCTATCTGAAAATGTTTACACCGGAGCTTTGCCATAGAGTGCCTCTAAATTGTATCATGTTTAGCATATACACTATATTACCAAAAGTATTGGGACGCCTGCCTTTACACATCAACTTTAATGGCATCCCAATCTTAGTCCGTAGGGTTCAATATTGAGTTGGCCCACCCTTTGCAGCTATAACAGCTTTAACTCTTCTGGGAATGCTGTCCACAAGGTTTAGGAATGTGTTTACAGGAATGTTTGACCATTCTTCCAGAAGTGCATTTGTGAGGTCAGGCACTGACCAGAAGGCCTGGCTCACAGAAGGCCTGTGCAGGCCAGTCAAGTTCCTCCACCCCAAACTCACTCATCCATGTCTTTATGGACCTTGCTTTGTGCACTGGTGTGCAGTCAAGTTGGAGCAGTAAGGGGCTATCCCCGAACTGTTTCCACAAAGTTGGGAGCGTGAATCTGTCCAAAATGTTTTGGTATACTGACGCTTTAAGGGTTCCCTTCACTGGAACTAAGGGGCCAAGTCCAGTCCCTGAAAAACAACCCCACAGCATAATCCCCCCCCCCCCCTCCACCAAACTCTACACTTGGCACAATGCAGTCAGGCAAGTACCGTTCTCCTGGCAACCGCCAAACCCAGACTTGTCCATCGGATTGCCAGATAGAGAAGTGTGATTCATCCCTGCTCTGGAGTCCAGTGGTGGCGTGCTTTACACCACTGCATCTGACGCTTTGCAATGCACTTGGTGATGTGAGGCTTGAGTGCAGCTGCTCGGCCATGGAAACCCATTCCTTGAAGCTCTTTACGCACTATTGTGCTAATCTGGAAGGCCACATGAAGTTTGGAGGTCTTTAGCTATTGACTATACAGACACTTGCTGACTTCTGCACACTGTGCTGATGTGCTGACCCCGCTCTGCCATTTTACATGATTGAGTTGCTGTTTTCCCCAGTTGCTTCCACTTTGTTATAATACCACTAACAGTTGACTGTGGAATATTTAGTAGCAAGAAAACTTCATGGCTGGACTTATTGCACAGGTGACAACCTATCACGGGACTACGCTTGAATTCACTGAGCTCCTGAGAGCGACCCATTCTTTCACAAATGTTTGTAGAAGCAGTCTGCATACCTAGGTGCTTGATTTCATACAACTGTGGCCATGGAGTGAGTGGAACACCTGAATCAAATGATTTGGAGGAGTGTCCCAATACTTTTGACAATATAGCGTATATACATTTGTTTTATATTTATTTTGTGTACCTCTTCATGCCACTGTTATATTTATCTGTTTTGTTTTTTTTTGTAGTGCCATCCGGACAGTGACCCATCAAATCCTCTCCTCCATGCCCAGTTTGTACGCATCAATGAGGCATATAAGGTGCTGAGAAAACCGTCTTCCCGCAAGGAATATGATAAGGTCTTAGAAGCAATACAGAGAAATGGCCCAGCTTTTAGAGACCAAAGTGCTTATAAGACCTCCAGCAGAGCAAACGGCACAACACACACCTATAGAAAAGAAGAGCCCTATCACTGGTAATAAATCTTCATTCCTGTTCCCTTTTTATCTCACTTTGCATTGTAATTATAGAAAACCTGTGAAGGTAGCAATATGGGGTCTACCATTTGTCTACCTATAGTTAGGCAGTCCATAAATTATGAAATTCTCTTCCCTTTCACCATGGATGGAGGGAAGGAAAACTGCTCATTTACCCTAAAAACACAGTGTTGATGGGGGAATCCCTCCCGCAGCGGTATTGTGTTCTGCTAGCGGGGAGTCTTCCCTTGCTGGTAGAACACAAGGATCGCTGCTGGCAGTTAGAGCGGCTGGCAGGGGTAAAATTAAAAAAATTTGTTGGACCGACTTTAGTACAACCAGCCTGCCAATAGATTGATCAGATCTCAGCTGGTTCATTCGATCCATCTATAGACAGCTTAAGTCATCAACCTGGAAAAAGCCAGGCTCAGTATGACACCTACAGAGTTGCTCACTTGAAAGCAAGTCAGCAATGGCAGCTGTCTTTGACCTGCAGTTTATTTTGTTCTTTCACTCTCTGTTTCAACTTTCTCTAATTGACTCCCAGTCGTTCCATGTGCTGTTAATGCTCCTTATTCTGTTCTGTTCTTTCTTTCTTATCTTAAGATGCTGTGATACCAGGAAATTCCTTGTCTCTTTGATACTGGCACATAGGGGCAGTTTGAGGAATGCAATGTTATGCATAATGAGACTTGAGACAAGTTGTCAGCAATCATTTTAAAATAAAATGCTGATTCCAGCTGCTCACTTTTGTCTTTCAGTTTTTATCATTTTTTTTAAATGTTTGTGTCTGCCTAATTTTTTAATGCCCCATTGCTAATAGTCATCCTCTTTGTCTGTCCATCACCTATTCAGGTCCTCCAAAGACAATGATTGGTATTGGTCTCAGTTTTCTCGCCAGTCGGATTTTAAAGAGTCTGAAAAGAAGCTACAAGAGCGCAATAAAACCATTGTATGGACTTGCATATTCTTGGTTTTCTCAAGCATCTACCTACACTTATTTGTTTTTAGGTAACCAAACATCTTATTTAAAATTGTATCCATCTAAACCCCAAAAAACAAAAATGTAATATATTGCAGCTGTCCAGTCCTTAGACGTGGTGGCTGCATTAGTTTTCTTTTTTGGGGCCAAGTTCACTTTTTTTCAAATACAGTAAAATACTTGATTCTGGTAGATATCAAGTGTCCTTGTAATTAAGACATTGCTCACACAGGCAGCAGCCCTTGACACCCCTCTGAAAAGCAATCTGCAGTGGATCAGTTACTGTGTACTGAACTGAAATGATAATTATTATTTTCTTTCAAAGCTATCCCCTGGGAATGGCACAATCCTTCCCTGCAAATGTTATAAACAATGAGGGGATGGGAAGGTGTTTGTAATTCAAAATAGGTGAGCAGTCTTCTTCATAAATTTTGTCACTTTAAGACAGGAAGTGTGTGTCAGGGCAGGGGCCGAGGAACGGACAGGCAGGCCTAACAATGTAACGCCCTGGCTGACGACAACCACCACCCACAGACCGAAGTCCCTCAGGGCGCAGAGTTTAAGTCCCAGGCTGCCCTTCACCAGGGCCCCTGATGGTGGGGATGGACTTGACGCAGCCAGGAACCAGGTCGCGGCCCCCGAGACACTTCAGCTGCGGTACTGGCCGCCGCCAATGGCGTGTAGCTGGTGGAAGAGACAAAAGAGTAGTCAGACAGGCCGGGTCAACAACAACAGGACAAAACAGTACAGGACAGCAGACGAGAATCACAGGTCACGAGCCGGGTTCAGCAACAGAGGGTCAGATCAAAAGGAGAACGCAAAGAATAGTCGAGTCACAAGCCGAATCAGATACCAGGAGAGTCACGAGAGTCAGAACAGAGTAATAGCAACACCAAGACACAAGTGCAAAGAGCATGTGCGGACCACAGGCTTATATGTCATCAGCCACACCCCTCTGGGGGATGGACCTCAGAGACCTGAAGGCATAAAAGGATTCCCACCATGCACAGCAGAAATCCAAGGTGGACGCCAGCACATGGAGTAACATAACCTCAGGGAAAAGGTAGGACCTTGACAGTGTGTTACTGGCAGGATTACCATTTGAGCCTAAAAAAAAAAAGAAACCGAAAGCAGCCACTACATTTAGGACCTGGTAAGCTGCAGTTGTTTTATTTTGTCTTTTGGGTTTAGAAGCTTTAAAAGCTAATGCCAGCAAATCTATTTTAGTGTTCGATAGAGTAAGGAAGACTTTATTGCCTGTGTCACATTCTGTTGGTGTTCCATTGCTGAAGTGGTTTCCTCTTAGTTACCCTCTTGATGCCAAATCACCTGCATGTATGTGATTGGCTTCAAGTGGTTATATCGTGGTTATGGCTGCAGCTGTATGCCATAACCCTGGTATTTTTTTTTTTTTTTTTCAGCAGGCAATGCTTTTTCATCTAAAAGCAATCCTAATGGTCCTTCTCTGGGCTCCTCTGTGTGATCAGGGAGCCTGGTATTTGATCCAGCAGTGCCATCGGGTTATCATAGAGCTGGCTGGGGACAGGAATGTCCCCGGCCATCTGTATGGTCTATGAGACTGGAAGCCATCCATGGCGGAGTCGAATTTTGACTCCGCTCTGCCTTCTGTGAGTGTGCCTGAGACCCCTATTGCAATCTTTGATTCCTCAGAGTTTTCTACTGAATAGATTGCATTTCAGCAAATTCCAAGTGACTCAGATTTACAAGGAGTTGTTTCTAACCTGATCGATGCAGTAGGTTCTACCATGCATTTTAAGAATTACTTGGCTGTTCTTACAGCTGCAAAGACCTTTTCTGTATACTCCGTATTTAAAACATTCCCCTACAAAGACTGGAAATGACCAATGGAGTGATGGGCCCTCCTGACAGTGGGAAGGGGGAATGAATTTCTAAGCGGTCCCTGCCCAATGTGGACATTTGAGTCTTACATCTTACCAAGTATACCACCAAACAGGTTGATGGTGTTCTTACCTTTTAAGGATTTCACTGACAGACAGTTGGACTCTCTACTTCGTTTTTATTAATCTCTGTTGGAGGTGACTGATTTTTTTTCGTCACTATGAATTAAGTCCCCTAAAGTGGAACTTCACTCTCTGTCAACATGGAATGTTTTTAATCCTTATGCTGGTAGCATTAGTAAACAGTAAAGTATATCATATTTACTTGTTCTAAACTTTTTTTTCCATTTCTTCAGTTATTTCCATGTCATATATCCCAGCAGTCTTCAGGAGGGGAGGGAGGGTTCTCAGCTCAGCCTATGCCTGAGTTAAGGACAGATGCATTTCAGGAAGTAAATGATACATTATTCATCTGCCCTTACTCAAGATGGCCACTGCCAGAAATGCTGGGGGGGGGGGTTCAAAATGATTCTTCAGCAAAATAAGGCATTGAGACATGGATGGATGGGTGAGTTTGCGTTGAATATTAAAAATGAATAAAATAGCATTTTTGGTTTGTGATGCTCAGATGCAGTGCAGTTCTACTTTAAGGTGGACTCCTTCATCACAAGGACAGATGCTTGTGTCCTGGAGCTCTTTGAACAGGCGTCCTGTTCTTCAGCTTTGATGGCTCCTTACAAGCATCTAAACTTTGGTCACACATGGAGTTAATGTCTGTTCATATATGTAAGATAATTTGGTACATGCCTGGGATGTCAAGGATACACCCAAGGAACCTCTGATTCACTTGCCCTTTAAAATAAGGCGTCTGTTCGGACCTGCCCTTGACATTGTCATTTCTGATGCTTCTAGTGGCCAGACTGTATGCCCGCCTCAACACAGGAGATCTGTGGATTGGGCAGAGAAACGTAAGCTTTCTGTACTACTGCAGCAGTTGACCAGAGTCTGCCTCAGCTTCAGATTGTTAAGTTCAAAGCCCTCTATCTCATCTGTTTAGCTTTCTGCATGAAGGTTAGCCCCTACCCTTGCAAGTTTGGACCTGTTCATCCTACTAGGTCCCTACTTCATTTATCTCTTCACATTTTTGGTGCCCAGACTTTTTCATTTAGCTTCCACTCTGGACTTTTTAATCACGCACCTCCTTCAACTGCCCCTCTACCCTTCTGGTATTACTACACCCCGTTGTGCATCTTTTTCCAGAAGTAATGAAGCCATAGGCAGCCAGGCAAGAAAGACATCCTCCATGTTTCTCTAAAGTGTTTCTAAACCCTGGACCCTGTATTCACTATATCTGGTCTCCCATAGTACACAGAACATGGAAATGCAATTCTTATAGTAAATACAAACTGCTAAATACCTTTTCTCATCAGTAGTATATAGCAGTCTTGTGCCTTTTTTTATCAGTGTCTGGCCAAACACTGGTTAATCTTGTAGGAGGAGGTTTCATTCTGCTTTGACTGTCCTATGATGTTGCATAACCCCTGTCCCTCTATCTGGACAGTGCTGATTGTGCTGATCACATGCACCCTCCCAAAGAAAAAAAAAATACTCTGTAGCAATACACACTAAACTGAGTATGTGCAGAGTGACTCCTAGTGCTCTGTACCATCAGCAGTGGGATTGGGGACAGTAGAAGAAGGGGAGGATCAGAGAAGACAGGATCAAACAGCCTTTTTACACAATGCAGAGGATTAACCTCTTAGGCTCCACAGTGAGTATAACAAGCATGCTTTACTGCATACACAGACTGATTGTACTGTTGTGGGTTTAGTAACACTTTAAAGTTGTGTTAGTTATTTAAGGCCATTTTATAAGCATTTGTTTTCTAAAATGAGTCCAAAAAAAGGTTTACCTAAATCATTTAATATCAATAAACATTTTTAAATTAAGTGAAGTGAATACACCAGAGAGTAGTGGCACACTTGCTTGAGTCACAGCGCGTGTAATCAAAGCCTGGGCATTAGATTATGTGATTATCTCATCATTTGCTACCAAGACCCTAATGAGTACAGCACATGACTTCAACACATACTCTTGTACCCAGATTTTAGATACCTGCTTAAGGCCTATAACTAACTGTGATATTATTGTAAACAGTCACCAAATGTAAAAGTCATATGTGGATTATAAGTCCCTCCTGCCTTAGTTTAACAATAACATGAATTTATTGCACATTTTTTACAGATCCGTTATGCTAATTCCTTCTTTTCAGTCAAGCAGACAATACAACTCGAAATGACCCAAGTAGTCTGGCGTTTAAAGTACACCTATTTTAAATGATAAAACTATGTTAACAGTCTTGATGAGATAGATCATTAAAGAGGCAAAGAAGGGCTGCAATACACAAGGTTCTGAAAGTATTTATTCCCTCATGCCCTTTGGCAGAAACCTTGCGATAATGCTGCTCCATCATTCTTCAAAAGCTTCAGAGTTGGATTCTTTGGTTTCATCCGCTAACACCTGTGTCAATACTGGACACAAGTAGTGATGTTGGGGCTTGTGGGTGGAATGTCAACGCAGATCTTGAAGACACTGGAGATTCAAAGAACTGCCTGCATTATAAGGTAGATAGATGTTTACCTTTTTTTTTTTTTTTTCCAATTTAACACCCATACCAGGCTCCGTCCAGCTGCAGGTCTTGGCTGTAGATGTAGCTGGGTGGGCTGTTATCAGGGAGGTGTATCTATGCAGAGCTTCTTATTGGCTGCAGCCAGCCATTGGCTCTGCATAAGAATACTTCTTCCATTGTAATGATCGTCTTGTAATGATCCTCCCCCCAGATCAGGAGCCATACCAATTCTACAGCACTTGAAAAATGAGTATACCAACTCACTCAAAATATGTATTATGAGTAGGGCCTGTGGACAGCATTCCTTTGTGTCGAGGTGCATTGTAGGAAAGTCTTTTATAAAGATTTTTTTCTGGATTGATCTATATTGCTGTAAGTTAGTTAAACTGCAGCTTTGAATGAAGCAACGTCTAAAAAGCATGGTTTTGTGACAAGGTGCTTTAGTGCATTTACACTATATTGACATAGGTATTGGGACACCCCTCCAAATCATTGGATTCAGGTGTTCCACTCACCTCCATGGCCACAGGTGTATAAAATCAAGCACCTAGGCATACAGACTGCTTCTACAGACATTTGTGAAAGAATGGGTCGCTCTAAGGAGCTCAGTGAAGTCAAGCTTGGTACTGTGATAGGTTACCACCTGTGCAATAAGTCCATCCGTGAAATTTCCTTGCTACTAAATATTCCACAGTCAACTGTTAGTGGTATTATAACAAAGTGGAAGCAACTAGGAACAACAGCCACGAAGTGGTAGGCCATGTAAAATGAGAGAGCAGGGTCAGCGCATGCTGATGCGCATAAGTCGACAACTGTCTGCAGAGTCAATAGCTAAAGACCTCCAAACTTCATGTGGCCTTCAAATTAACACAACAGTGCATAGATATCTTCACTGAATGGATTTCCATGGCCGAGCAGCTGCATCCAAGCCTTACATCACCAAGTGCAATGCAAAGCATCGGATGCAGTGGTGTAAAGCATGCCACCACTGGACTCTAGAGCAGTGGAGACTTGCTCTCTGCAGTGACGAATCACGCTTCTCTGTCTGGCAATTCGGTGGACGTATCTGGGTTTGGCAGTTGCCAGGACAACGGTACTTGCCTGACTTCATTGTGCCAATTGTAAAGTTTGGTGGAGGGGGGATTATGGTGTGGGGTTTTTTTCAGGGGTTGGGCTTGGCACCTTAGTTCCAGTGAAGGGAACTCTTAAGGTGTCAGCATACCAAGAAACTTTGGACAATTTTTTGCTCCCAACTTTGTGGGAACAGTTTGGGGATGGCCCCTTCCTGTTCCAACATGACTGCACACCAGTGCACAAAGCAAGGTCCCTAAAGACATGGATGAGTGAGTTTGGGGTGGAGGAACTTGACTGGCCTGACAGAGTACTGACCTCAACCTGATAGAATACCTTTGGGATGAATTAGAACAGAGACTGCGAGCCAGGCCTTCTCATCCAACATCAGTGCCTGACCTCACAAATGCGCCTCTGGAAGAATGGTCAAACATAGACACTCCTAAACCTTGTGGACAGCCTTCCTGGAAAAATTGAAACTGTTATAGGTGCAAAGGGTGGGCCTACCCAATATTGAACCCTACAGACTAAGACTGGGATGCCATTAAAGTTCATGAGAGTGTAAAGGCAGGCGTCCTAATACTTTGGCAATATAGTGTGTTTTCATATTTATCTGATGTGAACAAGCCCTAAGAATTACTGTAAGATAATGCTCTTCTTTAATAATATTTGCCATTCTAACCAGCTTATTTATTGCCTTGCTTAGGTGTCTCAAGATTATGTGTTATACCACATTCACATTGCCTTATTAAATCAAGGCAAAATTTATCATCAGAATTTAGCAGGTTCCTCTATTAAGATTTCTAGAACAATGTGTAATGCCCAGAGCATCAAGTTTAGCCATATTGAAATGAATTTGTATTGCAGCACAATAAGAGACTTTCGTAACAAGGAGATAGAAGAACAACAGAAGAAGATTTTGGATTTCTATAATAAGACAAAGGAGAATGCCCAGTAAGTACAAAGTCTTGAAGGCCCCCAGCTCTTTTTAGGTATGGCTGTTCCAGTATGACGTTGATTGCCTTATGAATCTGTTGTCCTCTCTGTCCGAAATATGCACCTCACTTTCGTTGAAAGGGCGTCCCTTTAAGTTGTAGTAAGACTGCTGAATACTGAACTGCACAGTTTGTCATATATTGGTTCATCCCGGTTTTTGAGGAATTTTTTTTTTTTCCTATTGCAGATCTTTTGCATTTCCTTCTTGAGCTGCATATACTAAATTAATTCACTTGTGTTTGAATGTTTGGTCTTTTGGATGTACAAGCTTATATGTATTGCTTGAAAGACACAGGGATGTATTCATTGTTAAAATCCTTTTTTTTTTTTTTTTTTTTTTTTTTTTTTTTTACACCCCAGCCACATGTTAGAGCAGCAATGGGCGAACTACGGCTCGCTGCCACTCACATCCTGATAGCCAGTGATTGGCTGTCAGGATGTGTGTAGGCGGGGCAGCATGACAAACATGAGGGGAGCTAGGCTCCTCTCACAGTCCGCCCTGAAGAATGGAACGGCGCGGGAACACGGCGAGAAGAACACGCGGAGCAAAGGTAAGTAAATTGACACAGGGGGGACTTGGCTTACTACTTGCTACTTACTTACTACTACTATATGAGGGATGAATTAATATGGGGAATGAATTACTATAGGGGGGATGAATTACTATGGGGGATGAATTACTATATGGGGGATGAATTACTATGCTTACTATGGGGGAATATTACTATACTTACTATGGATGGCATGGTAGTGGCTGGACCGGCCAGCAGCTAGTCCGGCCCCCGGGTCCAATATATGAACCCATTGCGGCCCTCAAGTCAAAAAGTTTGCCCACCCCTGTGTTAGAGCATTCGATTACTCTTTAGGGTTTTGTTTGTTCAGTTGCCCCATTTTTTTCTTGGCCTTGTGAATATTTTAACAAAAGCCCAATTTTGGTAACTGCACGCATTCAACACACTCCTGGCATGCCCATGGGTTTTAGCCTCGAATACACGATGAGAATACCGGACGAATGGTCGTCTGGTTTTTTTTTTTTTTGTTTTTTTTTTGTTTTTTGCATGCTAATCTCATATCGAAAATTAATATTTTACTAAAATTACGAAAATTCTTGTAACACAGAATACAACTTTAGAAGTAATGTAACTTTTATTTCTGAGCATGTGCTGTTTTGGTCACTCGATTTTTTTTTTTATTACGGACGAATACTGTACTGGTTAAATAAAAATCGTTTGTTCTGTTATCGTACGAGAAAATTTTCATATAATTTTACATGAACTGTTGGGATCGGCTCTCGAAAGCTGTGTACTAATGATCCGATTATTGGACAATCGGTCCAAAAGTGGTATTTTTGGATGATTTTTTCATTGTGTGTACTAGGCATTTTTCTTACAGTCTTTGTTTGACTTACTTTCTCAACCTGGTGTTTCAGAGTTGTAATGTTTGTGTTCCAGTAGGTGATGGCAGTCAAAAAGCAGATACAGGTCTGTGTGGGCAGGTTTCCTGTAGACTTCAATGTCCAAGTAACCCCTTCCTTGATGACGTGTATAACACAGTCTAAAAAGTCATATTTGTTTTTCTTTGTGTCTTTTAATGACCACAAACTCCATGAAAAAAAGATGTGTGCACATGCAGATGGTTTTATCGGGATCCATGTTTTATCCACTTGCAGTACCAGAACAAAAGGCACAGTGTTATTCTGCCTGAAGTGTTCAAGGCTCTCCTCTCTATGTAGAGGTTGTCTGCAATGGAGGACCATGGTGATCCCAATGCACATTCCTGTTTCAGTCTGTAGACTTTATCCTTGTATTCGAAATAGGTGGTGTTGGGGTAAAGGTCCAAAAAGAAACATACTTGGTCTGACTTTAAGTTTCATTCGACTCTCAAGGGTATTCAGTTTCAAATGTCTCAGTAGCCTCTGCAGTTTATATACTAGTTAAATAGGGATGTGACAACTGAGAACAGTTTTTTTTTTCTCTTCTGTTCCTAACTTCACTGTACAGAGCTTGTAGACAACTTCATTAGTGTTCTAAATACTGTGTACCTTGTTGCCAACTAAAAATTTAGGCTGCTGACCATCACTCTTTGAGGTGCTCCTAATGCAGGGTACGCAGGCTGAACAAAAAAAAAAACTGAGAGGTCGCCATACTAACTAACTAGTGTGGCGATCTCCCTCTCTGAGCTATTGTGTTCTGACAGGGGGATAACCACCATCACCCCCCCCCCCCCCCCCCCGGCGGAACGCACTGAACAGTGTTCACATCCATTGGCTGCCAGTGTGTCTGTTCGATAAAAGTCGATCGTTAGACCGGCTTCTGTTGGACACGCTGCTGTACACATGGGCAGAATTGTTGACCAGTTTCTGTTGAACTGGCCGATATACGGCCCGTTTGCACCAGCTTTTACGTTTGTATCTTAGGGAGTCCAAACAAGCATGTTGCAACATTTTTTTCATTCACTAATAAGTTTTCTATTTCGAGACTTACGGAATGGGATGAGGGACTCTGACACCATTTGTCACCCAAATATATTAGCATTTTAAAATTATCTACCTTGGCGTTTAACAACAATTGACACCTTCTTCCAAATAATAAAACAGCTAGCACATGCCCCTGTCTTAGTGGGACCATGTTGATTTGATCAAGTAATTAGAACAGGATCAGCATCTGCCTTGACACAGTCCATACTAATTAGATTATGGTGACTGACTTCTCCAAATGGCTACAAATGCTGGGTATGTTTCTGTCACCCATTAGATCTTAGGAGGCTTCTTGATGAGCTGTGTGCAGCATTACAGGGCAATTGAATGTCGAATGTGGCCAAATAGTACTAGGTATACCATAACTTGGATAAATGAGAACCTTCCCAGCCTTCTGACGTACAGTTTTTTTTTAAAAAATCTACCATTAGGAGCTTTTCAGACAGACACAAGAAACATAGATCAGATCAGAAAGCAGTATAACATATGATGAGAAAAGCATGTGATGAGCAATTATTTTATATTGCACCTTGTGATTGTTTACTGAATATGTAAATAATGCAGGGTTCTTCTGCAATATCTGACCAAATAACTCCAATTTTTTCGCTCTAATTTGTCTCTGCCAGCTCACTCATAACTGAAGATGAGCAGCCAGCAGAAATGAAATACTTTTTTCAGAAATACAGTCTATTTTTGTAGGCACAACCCTGACATTTAAAACCTACCACCACACATTTTGTCTACATGAACAAATATGACTCGTGAGAAATGATGCCTGTACATTTAAAAGATAACTAAACTCAAGAACATAATTTTAAAATATTGCAGTCTACTAGATGTGGTGGTTGTGTTATTTTTATTTTTCAGGCTAAAAACAATTCAGCAACTACAGAAAAAAACTTGTTGATCTTGCCAGAAATGCAGTGTTCCTGAAACTTCTTGTGAGCTGAACTCAAAGAATGAAACGTTCTCTGTATTCTGTAAACTACTAATGATGAGCAGTGGCAGCCTGAGTGGCAACCATGGCACCCTCCATTGATACAGTGGAGCAGTGAGCATAGCCACCCAGGGACAGAAAGTGTGTTATTCAAAGGATCACCAGGTGAAAATAAATGGGGAAAAAAGTCTGAAAAATAATGTAGCTACCTCAACTAAGGACTAGCAAGCTGCAGTTTATTACATTTTTGCTTTTGTGTTTAGATATTTTAAATATTACTTCTACTGGCCTAAGCCAACTCCTAATAACTAGGTGTTTCTGTGGGTTCCGGGTTTTTTCCACCTCAAAGACATGTTGTTAGGTCAACTGGCTCCTGTCCAAACTTACCCTAGTATGTGTGTGCATGTATGTGTGTATGCATGTGAGATAGGGACCTTAAATTGTAAACTCCTTGAGGGCAGGGACTGATGGGAATGTACACTATGTAAAGGGCTGTGTAAATTGTCGGTGCTATATAGCTACCTATGTTGTGACAGTGCTTATAACTTTTTTCATTAAAACTTTCTTGGTGTAGGCTTAACAATTCACAGGCACTGACAACAACCTGGGAATTCTCTTAAATTGATCATAGGTCCCAGATGAGGCCTTTTTTAAATCTATGAATAATCAAGAAGGTAGTAAGGAGGAGACACCGCTGTACCTGGTTTCTGTCGCATGCAACAATGATTGTACAAGGTTTTCAAACAATCTTCCTTTAGGCCTGGTTCACACTAATGCCGTTTCAGATGTGACTGCTGTAACACCGCATCGCACGACAATGGAAATCCTATTATTTTCAATGGTCCCTGTTTACATCGATGCAATGCAGCTACAGAATTTTGGCAAAGGTGCAGGTGCTACTTTGGTGCTGGTGCAGCATGATTATGGCCCCATAGACCTCAATGAAAATTCATCAAAAACACATGTACAACTTGCAGTGTATTTTTGTTAGTTGTTTGTGTAGATTGTTAAGGAGCTGGCACCCAGCAGCGTCCTAGAAACCAATGACTTTTACATGTACAGTCATGGCATCATAGCGCCTAAGGTGTGGTGAGGTCGAGAGTAGCATCAATACAAGGACATCCCAATATCTGTTCTCACAAGCTGGTATGCTCCTCTGATGCAGCCCTCTGCAGATAGGGGAATCTTAATAGTAACCACAAACAAGAGGGTGCAAAGGCCTGTTGCATTACCTCACATCATTTGTATTAAATAAAACAAATGCATACTCACAAAGTGTAACAAGAAAAAAAGTGATGTACAAAGTGTCAGAGTGGTCAGGCTGAAGATGTGTATCACCAGGCTTCAGGCATCACTCAGACTAGCTAACACATTTGGAGTGATGGACCCTCTTCTATGCTTTGAGGAAGAGGTTCTGTACTGTTAATGAGGACAAGGGCCCCCACACCTTGGCCCTGTGGTCTTTGGGTGGGGGCCTCCAGATACTGCCCTCGCCCCTATGTGAACGAGTAAAGGGTACATGGCACCCCTACTTATTAAAAAAAAGTCAATCAGAAATAAAAGCACAAACACAGTTTTTGAAAACTCCTTTCTTAAAACGCTGTCCCCCGACCGGGTCCATGGGAGTCACTTTGGGGGGGCCCATGTAACACAGCCCCCCCTTTGGAGGGGAGGGGAGACCCCTGTCTCAGCTCCCCATATCCCTTGGTGTGGGGGTTGTTCATTGTTTACTGCCATGTGGTCCCATTGTTCTATTGTGTGTCTTGCTTGGGAGCAAACTATTATGGGATGTATGTGTTTGTGTATTTGCTTGGTGGGGGGTGTTTCCAACAGCCCTCCTGATGGGACTCTCTGTGGTGTGTGTGTCTCTTGTTGTTAAGTATAGATTGCCTTGCCCTGTGTCATTATGCAGGGAGGGGGGATTTGTCCCCTGAGTGTATAAAAAAAGCCAGTTGGAGTTTCAAATAAAGAGTTTCATGTTTTATACAGACTGGTGTCGTCTAGTCCTGTTTGGTCAGCAGTGGTGTCCGTGGATCTGTGTTTGGACAGTGAAGTGGTAGTCTAACGGAAATACCCTAGTGCAGTCGGGGTCCGGTTCCGTTACATTGGTGGCAAGCGGTTGGATTGTGCTTCCTGGCTGTGAACACATCCAAACCTCCACCGGGATCCAAGGTTTGGATAGCAGGAGAGGAGAGACAGATACCACCCGGAGCTATGGAAACGGAGGTCTTCTGGCGGATGCAGCAAGTGCTGGCTTATTTAGACTATCCTGTTTCTACATGGGACAAGCTTGGATGGAGGAATGCGACTGTCCAACAGCTGGATGAGGGTATAGAAGATGGAGAAGTTGGCTCTTTCCTACAGATCCCAGAATGTATGGATCTAATAGATTTTTCACTGGAGGATGTTGTGGGTGATGAGTCACCTACCAAAGTGCTCTTACTGGGCCCAAGGGCCACCAGCCCTTGCCCTGGACATTTAGTCATTCCAGAGACTGGGGATTTGACAGACTTCTCTGTTGAGGAAAAAACACCTGGTGAGCCTCCAGCAGAAGAGCTGGCAACAAGGCCAAACATTGCTGAACTCTACCCAGTACCAACAATAGCTTCAGTCTCCCTGAGAGAAGAGGCAGCCAGCCTTTCTCCTACACCACTGACAGGGACATGGGATTTCCTGCCAGCAGCATCTTTTAGGTAGAAGAATCTACTCCAGCTGAAGCGCTGACAACCGGACAGAGGGTCCAGGACCTCTGCCCCACACCTGCGGTAGTTTCAGAGGTCCAGGGGGATAATGGAGAGGAGGTTGTTGTCCTCCCTCCCCCACAGTCACCCAGAGTGGAGGAAACTGTCTTCCCTCCCAAGCCAGGATCTGTGCACCAGGGAGACAGTGACAGAGGAATGCCATCCCAGCAGCAGATCCACAGTCTGGGAGTGGAGGAAGCCAGCCTCCCTCCCCTACAGTTAGCCAGAGCAGATGTGGGGTCCCCAGCAGAAGTGCTGGCAACAGGACAGAGCGCCGCTGGCCTCTGCCTAGCAACTACAGTCACCACCTGGATACCCCAGGGATGCTGGGCAGTCGGCCCAGATCCCCAACAGCATGATGGAGTCAGCCCAGCCACCCTGTCCTCTCTCCAGCAGCTGAGAGGACTTCAGGGAGAATTACCAGCCCGTACTTCTCCCCAGCGGCGGGTATGTTCTCCGAGAGAGGCAGAGGTTGCCGGGTGAGTAATGCTTTGTTTGGGACAATTTGCTTGGGGTACTGTGTTGGTGCTGGCATTGGGGGACTGGAAGTACAGACTAACTTCGGAGTCTACCCGTCTGGGGTTTACTCCTGTGTTAGTCTCCTGCCAAAAGGGGAGATATGTGACCGGGAGTCACTTTGGGGGGGGGGGGGGGTGCCCCGGATCCATGGAACACAGCCCCCTTTGGAGGGGTGGGGAGACCTCTGTCTCAGCTCCCCATATCCCTATTATGTATAAGTCACCCTGTGCTTGGTAGGGATACAGGGTGAAATGTTCTAATATGGTGTGGGGGGTTGTTCATTGTTTACTGCCATGTGGTCCCATTGTTCTATTGTGTGTCTTGCTTGGGAGCAAACTAATATGGTATGTATGTGTTTGTGTATTGGCTTGGTGGGGGGTGTTCCCAGCAGCCTTCCTGATAGGACTGTCTATTGGTGTGTGTCTCTTGTTGCTAAGTATAGATTGCCCTGCCCTGTGTCATTATGCAGGGAGGGGGGATTTGTACCCTGAGTGTATAAAAAGCCAGTTTGAGTTTCAAATAAAGAGTTCCATGTTTATAGAGACTGGTGTCGTCTAGTCCTGTTTGGTCAGCAGTGGTGTCCGTGGATCTGTGTCTGGACAGTGAAACGGGGAGTCTAACGGAAATACCCTAGTGCAGTCGGGGTCCGGTTCCGTTACACCAATCATGATGGCATGGCCGCTGACACACATGAAAGAAAAAAGCATGGCGTTACCCAATTGATCGAGTCGCTTTCCTTGGGCCAAATTTATTATTTTAGTTAATAAAGGACTTGTTACAAATTGTGTTTTTTTATTTTTACTTGACTTTTTCCTTGTTATGAGTAGGGGCACTATGTTCGCTTTACTGATTCACATAGAGAGATGTGTTATCTGGGTCCTCCCTATTGTTGAAGGGGGCTTGCAGATTCCGATAAGCCCCTTCACAGACGCCCAGAACCAAGGACCACGGTTGTGGGGAAGAGGTCCTTGTCTTCATCAACATGGGGACAAGGTGCGTGCTGAGGGCCTAGTTTGGTTTGGGGGTGGGGGGGTACACGCTTGTCCCTCCCCTTTCCTGGCCTGCCAGGCTGCATGTTCAGATGAGGGTCTGGTATGGAGTTTCATGGGAACCTGTTGCCATATTTTTTTGTTTTCTTTTTTTTTTGGTGTTGGGTCCCCTTAAAATTCATACCAGACTCTAGGGGCCTGGTACGAATTTTTTGAAATGTCCCCTCTCCTTTATTTACATTCACCTCTCAGCTGAGAATACCTTCACTGAATATGTCATCCATCTTTTGGTTCACTCAGTAGTTTCTCTGAAATAGCCTATTAATTTTCAAATCAAACTGTTAATTCTCTTTGGTTTCCTGTTTGTAAGGCAAGTGGCTGCTATGCCACCTATACCCCCAGCCACTGGTCTTGGCACATCCCTTCTGTAGTTCTTTCTCCAGGAAGCAGTGATTTAATTCAGCCCTCTTGCAGTGGTGGATGGACCAAGACTCTCAGACACATTCAACATATACAGGCCTAGTGTACCCATCCACATTCACTACAGTTCCCTGTGGATGATGGGAACTGTAGTTTCCTTTTATTAGAGAGAGAGGAGGGGACATGATGTAATCCCTGTTGTTACATCTCCTCCTTGGCAGAGCAGAGGCTGCTCTATTTTGAATTACAGAGATAAGGTCATGAAAATTCAATTAGATTTTTCTCCTAAATGGTAAGGATTTTCAAAATTTTTATAACTTTTATTTCTTAATGTTTAGTGTTTTGTGTAGGTGAGTGTACTAATGGGTAATTTTTTTTTTTTGCTATCCCGGAGTTCTTCTTTAAAAGAAAGTTATCAGAAGCATCATCTGAGATCATAGAGAGAGGTAATTGCCTTGTCCAAGTACTTTTATCTGATGTCTTTGGCCAGCTTTCGACTGGTTATATGCATCCATCGGATTCCTGTTGCAAGAATCGGCAGATTCTTGATTCTGGAATGAGAGAGTCATATGATCAGCAGCATTCGCATGAAGCTGCACACAGAGTAGTTAGCGACGGTTATGGACAGATGTCCGAGCCTGGCCAATTGTCTCACCAATAAAACATTTTATCGTGTACTGTGTTTGCACTAGTGGAGCTAATACAATGTATTCGATTATGATTACATGAGGCATTTAACTACTAGGGCAAGCCTTCTTTCTTTCCTAATGAAGCATAACATTGCCTATGGATAAAACAGCCAGATAATAACACACAACCCTCCATGTACTGCAGGATGAATGGGATTAACAAGCAAAAAGAGATTCTACTGCAGAAGCATGAAGAAAGGCTGAGGAAATTATATGGACGAGACGCTGAAGCTAAGAAATAAAGAAGAATCAAAGGATTAACCTTTTCCTAAAAACCTAATATTTTATGAATTTGTGGTGTAAATAAATAACAAACAAACAATAAATTTTATTTAATTGTCTGGATTACAAATGTACCATAAATTGCCTACAGGCCAGTGCAGAGACTAAAAGTGTTTGGTTGTAGCCTTCTAACAAAAGTCACCTTTCATTGTGTCCTAAATCATGTTCATGACACTTAAAGTGATTGTAAACCTCAGACATGAAATATGAACAAAACATATCCCTTTATAGTGTGTGCTTGTCTCAATCCAGAGCACTAAGTGTCATTCTGTCTGCTGCCCCATTCCTCTGTTTTAAGCATGAGTCACTTCTGGTGAGTTTTCTAACACTCAAGAGAAACATGGTGACAGGGTGAGCACATCATGTGATTGACAGCCTCAGCTCTGTTCCTGAGTCCTGTGTGAAGGGGGTGTGTCCCTTCCCTCTAATTAGCTCTCAGAGCTCTTCTCAATTATGTAACTACAGCTTTCTGCCCACTGCTTTTCAGAGCTGAGAGATCCTGTGTAAATTCTGCACTTTGAATAGATATAGTGGAAAGACGGTTGTAGATAAACAGGTACAACTTATGTAGTAGGATTTGTTTAATCTTTGCGTATCACACGAGGCCAGTCACTTCACTGGGTATAGCTAAGGGTTTACAGCCACTTTAAATTTCAGCAAGGGCTGTCATCTGCTTCCTGAGCTCCCCTTGTTACAGTATGTCTTACTTCTAGAACCAGAGTTCCTGCAACACACACAATTTCCTGAGAATGGTTCTCGGATCTTTTTCACACCTACAATCATGTAAAAAAGCAATTACATCCATGGTAATTGTTCAATTGTTTTCAACATACTGAACAGGAAAACAAATCTTGGTTTAAAGGTAATGTACACTAACCGATTCCCTTCCACACTATAGCAGAAATACTGATCCAGAACGGAGGGGGTGCACAAAATCACGTGTGTGTATATATACGTAATTGTGCATTTATGGGTTTGCGACTTCGGCTGTATCTCCGACAGGGGAGAGACCTGTGTATAAACAACACAGATCTCTCCTCTGTCAGCTCCTGCACACTGCTTTGTATGGCTCTGCATAGCAGAGTCATTGACACCAAATCAATTCCCCCCCAGTGTCACAATGCCCACTGCAGTCCTGCTATAAGTCGTTGATCACCACCATTACTAGTAAAAAAATAAAAAATAAATTACAGTATCTATACCATATTGTCGGTCTTTTTTTGTTTGTAGTGCAAAAAAATTAAAAGCACAGGCAATCAAATACCACCGAAAGAAAGCTTTGTGGGGGAGAAAGGGCATAAATTTCATTAGGATGCAGTGTTGCATGACCACGCAATTGTCAGTTAACCATTTGCCACCCGCCCTATGGCCGAATGGCGGCCGGCAAATGTCATCAGCGTTCCGGGTGGACGCCATATGGCGTCCTCCCGCACATGCGCAGATTGCGCTCCTGCAGAGCAGCGCAGCGGCGCGATCTGTCACCGGCCGTGTACCTCGGACACGGCTGATGACAGATCTGAGTATCGGCCCCATTGCCGGTACCATGTGACCTGCTGTGACCAATCACAGCAGGTCACATGACAGTTGTATAAAATGGATTGCTTCATTCATGCCATCCATTGTATACTAGTGTCTAGCTGTGAATGGTCACAGATAATCACATGCACATGTCATGTGATTAGCTGTGGCCAAATCACAGCTAAGCACAAAAAAAAAAAAAAGTACCCTGAATGAATCGGTCATTCAGGTGAAATATGAGAAAAAAAATAAATGAGAAAAAAAAAAAAAATATATATATATATATATATATATATATATAATTAATTTTTTTTTTTTTTTCTTGCTTATAGCAAAGTAATTCTTTGCTATAAGCCAATTGTGTAAAAAAACAAAAAAAAAAAAAAAAAAACTCGCAAAAAAACTGATCACTTACCCAAAGTAGTACAATGTTACTATGGTAACATTGTACTACTTTGGTCATAGTGAAATATGAGAAAAAAAATTTAATAAATAAGAGAAAAAAAAAAAAAAAAAAAAAAAGTATATATATATATATATATTTTTTTTTTTTTTTCATACTGTCACCAGTCAGTGTCCCTGATCACCGCCATGCCAGTTATATGATTATGCTGTACTGCACTGGTGACAATATGTAAAAAACAAATAGTGAAACTAATTTTCCGAAAAATTATGACAAAAAAAATACTTCAAAAAACTCGCCATGCCTCTTATGAAGTACGTTGGACTGTCTACTTTGCAAAAAGGGGTCATTTGGGGGATATCTGTACTGTTCTGACATTCTTGGACCTCAAGAAATTAGATTGGCCGTCAGTACTTCAGGATTGATCAATATTCAGATCTATACCATAGTTTGTGAACTCTATAACTTTCCTACAAACTAAATAATACATCCTAATTTGGGTTATTTTCACCAAAGACATGTAGCAGAATACATCTCGGCCTAAATTTATGAAGAACAATTATTTATTTGCAAACTTTTATAACAGAAACAAAGAAAACCTTTTTTTTTTTTTTTTTAATTTTTGGTCTTTTTTTTTGTTGATTTAGCAAAAAATAAAAACCCCAGCGGTGATTAAATACCACCAAAAGAAAGCTCTAGTTGTGTGAAGAAAATTATAAAATTTTAGTTTGGTACAATGTTGTATGACCGCGCAATTGTCATTCAAAGTGTGAGAGCGCTGAAACCTGAAAAATGGCCTGGGCAGGAAGGGGGTAAAAGTGCCCGATATTGAAATGGTTAAAGTAACACAGCACCGTATTGCAAAAAATGGCCTGGTCAGGGATGGGGGTAAATCCTCTGCAGGGCAAGTGGTTAACCAATGACACAGAAAATTGACATGGTGTATTCATTCTTATAATCTGAGGTTAAATAATCACTTTAAATTAATGCAGGTTGAGCGTTCTGGTATAAACTCTGTTTGGAGGAGATCAGGGAGAGAATGAGTTTGTCTTCTAGCCAGTACCTTAGACAGGATTTGAGTATACAGTGGATATCAAAAGTCTACACACCACTGTTAAAATGTCAGATTTCTGTGATTTAAAAAAAAGAGACAAAGATAAATCATTTCAGAACTTTTTCCACCTTTTAATGTAACCTATAAACTACAACAACAAACAACAAACTGAAATCTTTTAGGTGGAGGGAAGTAAACATAAAAAACTAAAATAATATGGTTGTATAAGTGTGCACACCTTCAAACTAATACTTTGTTGAAGCACCTTTTGATGTGATGTGATTCCAACGCTCAGTCTTTTTGGGTATGAGTCTCACACATCTTGACTTGGCAATATTTGCCCACTCATACAAAAACACTCCAAATCTGTCAGATTCAGGTCTGGGCCATTCCAAAACTTTCATTTGTTAATTTGGATGTATGCTTTGGGTCGTTGTCATGCTGACAGATGAAGTTCCTCTTCATGTTCAGCTTTCTAGCAGAAGCCTGAAGGTTTTGTGCCAATATTGACTGGTATTTGGAACTGTTCATAATTCCCTCTACCTTGACTAAGGCCCCAGTTCCAGCTAAAGAAAAACAGCCCGAAAGCATGATGCTGCCACCACCATGCTTCACTGTGGGTATGATGTTCTTTTGGTGATGTTGTTTTTGCCAAACATATCTTTTGGAATTCTGGCCAAAAAGTTTAACCTTGGTTTCATCAGACCATAATACATTTTCCCACATGCTCTTGGGAGACTTCAGATGTGTTTTTGCAAAATTTAGCCAGGCTTGGATGTTTTTCTTTGTAAGAAAAGTCTTCTGTTTTGCCACCCATAGCCCAGACATATGAAGAATACGGGAGATTGTTGTGACATGTACCACACAGCCAGTACTTACCAGATATTCCAGCAGCTCCATTAATGTTGCTGTAGGCCTCTTGGCAGCCTCCCAGGCCAGTTTCCTTCTCCTCTTTTCATCAATTTTGAAGGAACGTCCAGTTCTTGGTAACGTCACTGTTGCACCATATTTTCTCCACTTGATGATGACTGTCTTCACTGTGTTCCATGGTATATCTAATGCCTTGGAATTTCTTTTGTACCCTTCTCCTGCCTGGTACCTTTTAGCAGGGAGATCCCTCTAATGCTTTGGAAGCTCTCTTCGGACCATGGCTTTTGTTTTAGGATGCGACTAAGAAAATGTCAGGAAAGACCTACTAGAACAGCTGAACTTTATTTGGGGTTAATCAGAGGCACTTTAAATGATGGCAGGTGTGTACTGACTCCTATTTAACATGATTTTGAATGTGATTGCTTAGTTTTAAACACAGCTACATCCCCAGTTATAAGAGGGTGTGCACACTTTATGCAACCATATTATTTTTAGTTTTTTTATGTTTACTTCCCACCCTAAAATATTTAATTTTGTTTTTCACTTGAGTTGTACAGTTTATAGGTCATATTAAAGGTGGAAAAAGTTCTGGAATTATTTATCTTTGTCTCATTTTATTTACATCACAGGAACCTGATATTTTAACAGGGGTGTGTTGACTTTTCATATCCACTGTAGGTGTTAAATAGATTGGCATAATGATTCATGGTATAGGTGCTTTTTAAGTGACCTAGAATAAGAACTGTGAATGATTCCCTTCAAATGAGGAGAAATAGACTCTCATTAAGCATGGTGTCATATGTCTAATATGCACGGGCCAACTGCATCTTTAAATTTCGCATACCATTCAGCTGGTATCTCATCAAGACCAAGCTCTTGGGGGCAGAAAAGGAAGAGATGGCTTGTTCAATTTCACCTATTACAGTAGGGGCTTCCTTAAAGCGGAGTTCCAGCTAAAAAAAAATAAAATAAGAGTCAGCAGCTACAAAAAACTGTAGCTGCTGACTTTTAAAATACAGCCACTTACCTGTCCCTCGGTCCAGCGGTGTCCTCACCACAACTGGTTTCACTAGCCGTCTGCTCTCCCAGGTGCTGGCATCTTTAGTGTGGCAAAC